AGGTAGAGCCTAACTCAAAGGGCTCATGGCTCTGTCGATCATAAAAGGCACACATCCAGCCCATAGAGGCTTGCTCCTCTGTGCCTAATTTTTGAGCCACACTGAGTGTAGTGTAGAGGATGTCAAGCAAGAGTATCTCACTTCTGTCTCATGGTGCTGAATGGAAGCAAGAGAGTCACTGGGTAGCACAGTTGCCCAATATGGCATTTTACCAGCACGTTATCGCTAGTCCATGATGGGTTGATACCCACAGTACCAGTCCTGTCTACTGAATGGCACCATTATGAATTGAATTATGCATCCCTCCCCAAGTATCTATGGAGTTCTGGCTCCTATACTTAAAGATGTGATGCCATTTGGAATGGGCTTTCTCTTTGGGTATGTTAATGAGGCTGTCCCAAAGTAGGCAGGGTCCTAAACAGAATCACTTCTGAGTTATATGAAGAGTATAATAGGAACAGTGACTTGAACAGGGTTGGTGTGGGTGGCAGGGAGGGTGTGTGTGGAGAGAAAAACTAAAGAACTCTTGGGTCTAATGACCAGGAAGAACTCTGCCTTCGAGGGAATGCCCTGGTTTGAACTTTTAATGAGACAAGAAATTCTTGTTTGTTGAAGCCACCTATATCGGTGGTGTATTTCATTACAGCAGCACTAGCTTAGTCTACTAATAAGGCAGACCTAATGCTGCTAGTTGCTGCTCAGTCCGTTCAGCCTCCAGTGGACTCCATGTGGACCGCTTCCAAATACAATACAGCTCTGGATTGCTGGTTCCCGCAGCGTGGTACTCTTGTGAAACATGCTAACGCACCTTTGGACTCCCTCGAAGTAAGGGAAGCAACGTCATGGCTGCATCACTATTATTTTCACAAATAGTTAGGACTTTCGTACGTTTCCAGCAAGAGTGGTGTGTTCTTGCTGCTGTTAGCAGCTGTTGGGGCTGTTCAACCTCTCGATGATCCCTCAGGTACAGAGCAGAGCTGATCCATTAGGTTTTCAAGGTTTTGGGAAGGAGACCATGAGGCCAGTCTACCAAGGTCCTTGTCTGAGTCTGCAATCAAACAGCTAACTTTTTAGCTAGCGGGGCAGGACACTCTCTCCTAATCCTTCTAAGACTTCAGAAAGGCAGCCTTGTCCACTTGATTGATAGTAACAATTTGAGACTCATATCATTAAATGGTTTCATCAAGACTTTCTAGCGAGACAGTGATATAGGCAGGGTTTAGATCCAGTTCCTTTTGACTTCAAAAACCATCATTCTTATTTAGAATGGTCATACCACTTCTCACTTAGCTATAAGCGTGCTCTTTGCAGGCGTGGAAACAACAGCAAGCATGTGCTTATCTTCAGGACCAAACGACTCACATACACTGACTCTTTGAAGACCTGCCCAAACACTAAGAAGCAGGACTCACTATGCTCATTTTCCAGAGGAACACACTGGGGTATCAAATGATACAAGCCAACTCACTGTCCTTGCTGCCTCATCGCCACCCTATAGGACAGGGTGGAACGGCCCCTTTACTTTGACAAGCCAGTAACTCTTCACAGGAGTAGAAAGCCCTGTCTTTCTCCCCCAGAGCCGCTGGCAGATTCAAACTGCTGACCTTACAGCCCAATGCTGCTCCACCACATCCCCAGGGCTTCTTTAGGGTAAATTTTGTTGCGTTCCACTGGGGCAGAGGGAGGCTAAATCAGTGAACTGGACAAAGTCAGCCAGTTCGTAATTGACACAGCAAGGTGGCCTCCGAGGCTATGTCCAACAAGAGGTCAAGGAAGGGAAACGTCTGGCACTCTTTTGGTGAAATTTGAGTTCCTGAAGTAATATTTTAAGTTTGATGCATCCAACTGAGGGCCCTGTAAAGTATTACTCAAAATGTTTTGCCATTTCTTTCAGAGCCCGAAGCAAGTACTAATGATAATTATGATAAAAGTTACAGCTAAAACTAATTTTGTATCTATGATGCGATGTTTTGCACGCTTTAAAATATTCCATTTAATGTTTTTTAACAGTAGTAGTATTATTCATATTCTACAAAATAAAATTACTTCGGGACCAGAAAACATAAGTCATTGTCTCCATCTCCCTCAGCAAATCTACGACAGTTCTGAGACCAACAGGGGTTTTCTGAACTTAGAGTCCACATTCTTTACTTCTAAACTCTTATTCTAGTCTTCCATGTTGTTGTTGTTGTTTTTAATCATTTTATTGGGGGCTCATACAACTCTTATCATAATCCATCCATACATCAATTGTATAAAGCCCATTTGTACATTTGTTATCCTCATCATTCTCAAAACATTTGCTCTCCACGTAAGCCCCTGGCATCAGCTCCTCATTTTTACCCCCTCCCTCCCCGTCTTCCATGTTTTCGCTGGTATAACACTGTATCTTTAGATAATAGGCCTAATTTTCTAAACACTGGCAGACATCATTTGTGACTGAGTCCTAAGTTTTAGGAATTTCAGGGACTTGGCATTAAATTTTGGTGAGAAACTCATAGACAGGTTTCCCGGCTGTAATCTTCCAGGGAGAAGACTGCCAAATCTTTTTTCTCTCAAGACAATGACTTTGAACTGATACACTTACTCATCAATATATGCATGTTTTCTATTTGACTGGGACTGCATATTAATGGGGGGGGGATCATGCCAACTACATGCCCACTGTGCTTGTGGCACAGTATGGCTGGCACCATATAGACATCCGGAGACGGCTCTGGGTTTATACACACTCTGTACAGAGTTATTCTAAATCATAGCAACGCTATGAGTCTGTAAATCTTGACAGAAACACCTGACCTCATTTTTCTCCCAAAGAGTGATTGTTAGGCTTAAACAATTGACCTTGAAGTTAGTAGCCCACAGTATGGCCAGGGATCCTTAGCACGGCTATACCAGTTTATAAGGATTTTGATTAGCTGCTCAGTACTTCCTTGTTAGTACTGCATGAATGCATGCACTATATAGAGTTCAATCCCACAGTGGGAATGAGGCTGACCTTAGTTGAGAATTCTTAATTATTCTCTGTGATGGGCTATGTATCCATCCTGTACGTGGTGAACTACTCATTCTTTATTCTCACAGGATTTGCTGGTGGTTGCAAATAGCATCAATTCTTCTTGGGTTTTACCGATGCATTCGGTTTGGGGTGTTGGTGAAGAGTAAAGTACCACGGACTACCAGAAGAATGAATAAATCTGTCTTGAAAGAAGAGATGCTTCTGAAAGCAAGCAAGCTCCTTAGAAGTGAGGATGGTGAGACTTCATGTCACATTGAATAGGTTCTCCATTCCCCAGGGAAGGACACCATCTTTGGTTAAATGGAGGGTTAGCAACAAAAAGAGGAAGATCCAAAATGGGTTGGATTGACACAATGTCTGCAACAATGGTCTTAAGCATGACAATTGCGTGACGGGCTCAGAACCCAGTTGTGTCCCCTTCCGTCACACATAGGGTCGTTCTGGGTTGGAGCCGACTTGATGGCACCCAAAACCAACAGCAACTAACATCCTCTTCTTTCCAAACGATAGCTCAACATCAATTTTAATGTAATACGTATAACCTCAATTAATTTTCATAGTTCTATGAGAGTCATTCATCGGCCATTGTTGGTGAAGGAGATGTTGCTGTGAGTTGGGTTGAGGAACGGTAAAGAAGGGAGAGGAAGAGAAAATGAAGAAGGGATGGGAATGCAAGGGGAGAGAAAGGTTGCTCTATTCCACAGCTTCAGGCCTGGTTAGTATGAGTTAACTCTTCTTGTCTTTTGTAGTAGTGAAGCAAATTGTATATTCTATTTTTTTTAAAAAGAACCCTTTATATTTTAGAAGAGTTAGCCTGTATATATTTGTTACATTTTATTTTTTTTTTCTTTAACATTTTATTAGGGGCTCATACAACTGTTATCCCAATCCATACACATATCAATTGTGTAAAGCGCATTTGTACATCGTTTCTCAAGACATTTTCTCTCCATTTAAACCCCCGACATTAGGTCCTCATTTTTCCCCTCCCTCCCCCCTCCCCCCTCCCGCATGAGCCCTTGATAGTTTATAAATGGGTATTTTGTATATTCTTGAAGCAAAATTTTCTTTCCAAACCTAAGAACAGCCACTTCCACCCTCAGTTGACTCTCTCTCTCTCTCTCTCTCTCACTCACTCTTTCTTAGAATACAGCATTTCTAGGACTTCTAAAACATGTCATGCTTCTCTCTTTGTAAAAACTGTCAGCTGAGTACCCAGTGGTTCCTGGGGAAAGCTGAAGTTTAGAAGTGACAATGCTTAGAAGTGAACTTCAGAATTTTCCAGAAGCTTCTTTTTATATAGAACGCTTTCCCTGAGAACATGACTGAACACAGACACTTGAAGAAAAGCACTCGATTGGGATGGCAAGCTCTGTCAACGCTGAAAGAAATCGTCTTGGATAATTGTTTCTACCTTGACTTGAGAAAATGTGAATTTCAAGTACAATAAGGCAAAAAAAAATTGAGCTGGCGTAGTTGGTTACCTTTTAGGCTGCTAACTGGAAGGTTGGCAATTCAAACCCACTAGGCATGCCAAAGGAGACAGATCAAGTGACCTGTCTCAGATTTATAGTATCTGAAGGCTTATAGCATCAGGAAACCCTTGCTGGGGTCCTTATGAGTTAGGATCAACTCAAGAGCAGTGGATTTCGTTTGTCTTAGAGTTAATATATTCATCATCAAAAGATGAATGCAAGACCGAATGAAAGAAAGGAGTTAAAAATATGCATGAAAGAGATGCAGAATATAACACAATTAGAAATGTGCATTAGCATTCTTAAGGATAATCATCATTGTGTCAGATCTCTTCCTGGGAGGAACATTTTCTTTTCTCCATTTGATGAAGGAAGCACTGAGACTCAAAAGGTCAAGGCAATGAGAATAAAATCAGCAAGCCAGGAACCGCAGAGTGGAGCTTGAGCCCCCAGGTGCAACGTCAAGCTCACAGCCACACCACTGCAGGCCGGCGGCTCAGACTTACCATGGCTTTGTTGGAGTGGCCGCCTCCTTGGAACTCAATGGTCCCGAAAGCATCTGTCGGGCTGAGCTGGGTGTGTTTGCTGATGGACCACTTCTCGGACTGGATGTCGTTTCGGGAAAGGCGGCTTTCATTTTTCTCATTTTGAAGGACAGAGATACTGGGAGTGAGGCCGACATGCTGGCCTATCAGACGCCCACAGCAACACCTGCAGCATAAGAAGGCCAAGTGACTCCCTGGGTCGAGACACTGTTGCACACCCATGCACACGGCTGCAGAAATCGATGCAGCGCACCTGTCACGGCAGTCACTCCTCACATAGACTCTCCTTTGTGGATGCACCAGGCAAATGGCATGCTTAGGACTGGTGTTACATACATGTACCTTCCCTCCTCTCCCTCTCCATTGTCCTTCAGCTGTCACGTGGTTGCTACCTTTCTCCACCCTTCCATGTTCACACCTGGTCTATTGTTCAGAATTGCATTCTCGGAAACAAAGGTTTTCTAGATTTTTCTAATTCATTTTTCTTTCATCTGTCAACTCTTGCATGAAGGATACAGAGCAGTATTGATGGAAGAATTTAAACTGTACATTTAAGTTTAAAAATATGACTCATGCGTGAGTCACCATCTAGCTTGTTTCTCTCAAGTTAACATTCACTGGAAGAGCCCTGGGGACCAGGGGTTAACTATTGCGCTGCTCCCCACAAGGTCAGAAGCTCAAACCCACCAGCCTCTCTGCAGAAGAAAGATGAGGCTTTCTACTACCAGAAAGAGTGCCAGCCTCAGAAACTCATGGGGCCAGCACAGCCTTGGCTGACAGGGCTATAGGGTTGCAATGAGTCAGAATTGATGCGGTGGCAGTCACTTAATTTTCTCTGGTTGGTCATATGGCCAATGCCAAGAATAACAAACTGCAGGCTACATGTTTTTAAAGGAACAGGGAAAAAAGTTATTCATGAGATATTTGAAAACTTAAGAGGCACTTCTTGCATCATGGAAACATCCTTCAAACATGATGACTACTTGTATTTATAACAATATTCACAATAGATAGCATCCGTTTATTAAATACAATAGAAAGAGAATTAGGACCCCACTTTGCGGATGAAAAAAATGACAGTTTTGAAGATAAGATAGTGTATGTTTTATTATACAGCTAGTCTATCTGACTACATAGTCTATGTTTCCAACCTGTTGAAATTAGACTAGGTGTAGCTGTAAATGTCATAAAGACATTTCCAGACAAAGACATTTCCAGACAATCGCAGTATTCACTCTGGACTATTGAACTATTGGACAGAACTGTCCCATGGGGCTGCCAGGGCCTTACTTTGACAGAAGTACACTGCCATTTCTTTCACCCTCGGAGTGACTGGTGGGTTTAAACCAACAACCTTTCCGTTACCCACTGATCGCTCAACCCCTGTGCCACCAGAGCCCCTTACTTATCCGCTAGGCATTGTTGATTTAAGTCTTCTTTACAATTGACCGGAGCATGCTGGTATCAACCAAGCATTCTGATGAAATGTTTAGAAAGGAAAACCGGTAACTATGCTAAGAAAATATAGCCCTTGTTATTTACCGTAATTATTTCCCCAATGGTCTTTCTGTTGTTCTGTATTGGTTCTTGGAGAATTAACTGTGGACATGACATATTTTGTGCTGAGGATACATCTGATTACTTCAAAGATGTCTAATGCCCCATCCCCCCCAAATCTTTAATTTGACAGTAGTCCCCTTACACTAGGCAGTAGTTACTGTTGGAGTTCCGTTCCCACAATTGCTCATTCATGTTCTCCTTATTTTCTAAAGACAGGAAGATTACCTATGGGGGTCTTTGGTGCTGGGTATGATGTGAACGCATTCTCTTTTATAAAATGCTCTTTCTATCCAGGATTTCTGAGCCTGGGGAAAAAAAGAAAAGAGGAAAGTGAACATGACCTTTAAATATTTTTGACTAAGAAGCAACATTTTACAATCACTTAGTAGACTAGCATTTTAGTAACTGAGCTGAAATACACATGAACACTGCATGTGCCAAAATTAACTACTCACAGAACTTGCAGATTAGGCTGTTTTGTGTGAAAATTTTGAGGATTAAATGTCATACTGAAAAGAGATTCAGAGATGGTACTATATACCGAACTCACAATAATTTCTGAAGAATGGAAAGCCATTGGTATTCATCTGAGAGATAAAAGTAGTGTGTGTATAACTGTGGCAAACGATCAAAAGAATCTCATTGCCATCAAGTGGACCCTGAGTCATAGATACAGCTAAATCAGCTGAATTTGTATATGGTCTGATTTTCCTGCGAGAAGCCAATAAAGAAGGTGACAGAATTGTACAACGCAAAAATGTCAATGCATTAGTAAGCTTTTCCAAAACCCAAATGATCTATGCAGGTACCGAGAATAAGAAGGGAAGTAGTAACAGGAGGAAGGTAAGTGTCATCGCCACAGTGCTGCATTTCACAGGTAACCCCCTTTGACAAGCAGTGAGAACTCACATGCTTTTAACCGCAGCAAATACAGCTTCTGAAATGCCCAGCCAGGAGTCCTATCCCCCAGATTAGATTCCCAGATGCACAAAGGACGTTCTTGCAAATTGTCCAATCTTTGTTCCAAAACAGAATATCCTTCCTGCATCCTTTTACTCCTTTACTCTCCAGGATTTGAAATAGTAGAGGAATCATCTGTGAAATCCAGTAAGCCGCTCAGAAGATTCCTCTCTAAGTGTTTAAGATAGAAGTTGCCAGACCCAACTGCAATCTTATTTCTATATGGTATCACCTTTCTAGCTTGGCATCAGGACTGTGTGCTTCGAAGACATATAGGGCTAAAGCAAAACCAGGCTGGTCACTTGTCCTGACTCGATGACTGGTGTCAACTGTTACAGCCTCCGTGTGTTGCCCTTAAATGGTACTAACTTTGCCAGAGGTCCGTATGTCAGCAAAAAGAGTGCTTTGGTTTGATTTGCCTTTAAACCCCGTCTCTTGCATCTGTCTCCTCTTCCACAATGGAGATCTCCTTGAGCATTTGACATGCCTGCCAATATTTGTCTCACAACGGAGCAGGCATGGAAAGTAGCAAATGTCCGTAGGCGAATGTCCATTGTAGCCTTATTTGGAAAGCCAACAAGTGGAGAGAACTGGCACGTTGACTGGATAAACAAGAGGTGGTCTACACACAGAATGGAATGGTATTTAGCCATACAGAGACGTCAAGTCCCGGATGACTGAACTTTGGAAACACCGCCCTGCGTGAAATAAGTCAGTCGCTAAAGGACAAATATGGATTGATCTCACTTATTTGCAATAAGCGATTTACAAACAGGTTTCCTGAAGTTCATGGGGTAAGATTTGATTATCTTTTAATTGCTTTTTGAACCCACCCCCACCCATATATACAAATAAAAAAACATGCACGGTTACCAGAAGCAGAAAGGGAGAGGGGAGAGAGAAATGAGTTTGGCTAGTGATGGCAGAACATTTTGGACAAGGCTAGTAAAGGCAAATGGTTGCACAACTTACAAAAGGTCATCAACATAACTGACTAACACGCGTGGACATTATTGAGATGACATTCGTTTTCTTTTTAATTAATTGATTGATTGATTTTCTTTCTTTTTTTTTAAATCATTTTATTGAGGGCTGGTACAACTCATCACCATCCATACATACATCTACTGTATGTCAAGCACATTTGTACATCTGTTGCCCTCATCATTCTCAAAATATTTGCTTTCCACTCGAGGCCCTGGTATCAGATCCTCATTGAAACCTACACACATACACACAGTAACACGGAGGTTCCACGGGGACTGGCCGCAGCCTGCTTAAATCATGGCCCTAATGAAGACATCTAGTATCTGAGTCTCCTTGCATGCCCACGCAAAAAGGGGCTCACACAGCCCCTTAAGGATCCCGGTGTCCGCTCCACTCTCTGGGGTCTCATACCACAAAGGGGGACATTGGCAATTCTGTTGGTCAGAAGGGTGTGAGAAAAATGCCAGCCTCTGTTTGCACAGCTTACTCATCCCCAGCATGCAGGAAAAAACAAATGGATACCTTTTTGCTACAGAAATGCGCTCGGCATCGTAGATAACCAGTCTCTTTATCTTTGCAAAAAGCCTGTAAGTGAAACTATTCATAGGCCATGATTTTCTCTAGACACCCAATACTTTCACTGATAATATCTTTTGGCAGCAAGAGGATAAACTATTCCTCATTGGATATTTGAAGCCCACTTTCTCTGCACCTCAGGGGACAGAGAAGGGAGCGAGCTCTTTCCATCTTCCTTCATGGCCCGCTGTGACTAGCATTCTGAAGGCGCTTTTCAGGGACTATCGGGAATTTTGGAGAGTATTGGCCAAAACTTCTGTGGAGACAGGGCTGCTATGAGGCTTAATGAACTCGAGCACAATTGGTTTGGTCCTTCTGGGCAGAGCATGTGGTTTTCTATGATTTGGGCCAACTCACAGAATTTCCCGTGGGTCTTGGGTCTTCATTTCCTCTTCTATAAAACGGGAGTCAACACTAATACATGGGTACTATAATTTCCCTTTTAGTAGAGGCGATCCGTACTAAAGGCTCAGAAGAGACTCAGAAAAGGATGCTGAGCAATTGAACCCTTGGTTTTAAGCATGATGTCTCTTCCTTTGGGTGGAAGATGATCTGCTACAAATCCTGGCTGCCCAGGAGCAAGACACAGAGGATTTTTTTAATGGCACCGAGTCTTTTCTCTAACAATACTGCTGGGGAGAGTTGGTGTGATAACCAACATTGACAATCCAGGTGAATTCTGTGTATTTAGCAGTGCCTGGATGGTACAAATGGGCAGGTGCTCCATGACTGGCCAACAAGCTGTGGATTCGAAGCAGGGTTTCGAACCAGTTCATTCTGGTTTGACCCCCTTCTGAGCACTTGTCTTTCTGCCGCAGGTATGCTGAATCAGAGTCCACAGCTTAGCAAATTACCAGGTAAACCTCATAGAGCCTCTAGTGACGCTAATGTATACATAAGAACCCGGGAATCCTATTAACCAACAAGCAGACTAATACCTGGGGTAGAAAGGCAAATTCTCAGCAGGAGGTGTTAAACCAGAATGAACCTACTTGGAAGCCCCGGTGAAAATGGTTACACACTAGGCTGCTTGCCAAAGCTTAATACTGTGAACTGAACTGTCTTCCAAAAGAAGCCGTTATTAATATTCACTACCCTTGATATGGGCATTGTCACCTGGGTGTGCCTGGAAGTGCCTAGGTGTGTGGACAGTTGAACTCCTAAAGACACGGATAGATGAGAATCATTTCCCACGTGTATCCTTTCACTCCTCATTTCCAGCTCCCCATCCTCACTGATATACTCTAAAACTCAACCTCACTGCCTTCCGGTAGATGCCAACTCATAGTGACCGTAGAGGACAGGGTAGCTCTGCCCCGGTGAGTTTCCGAGACTGCGCCAGTTCACAGGAGTAGAAAGCCCTGTCTTTCATCCTTGGAGCTGGCTGACGGTTTCTAACTGCTGACCTTGTGGGTTGTAGCCCAACTCATAACCCCTGCACCACCAGGGCCCCTATCAAAAATGTACACAGTGTAATAATCTATCTGACTCCTCCTTTCTTCTTGAGGGAAAGGATGGCTTGGGCAACTAGAGAGACATCGGAATGGCAGAACGGCATGGGAGTAGGCGAGGGGCGATCCTAATGCTTGTAGCAGGTGACTATAATCACACCAGGATTCCTAACTTGAATGGAGGGGACCAGGACAAGCGGCAGAGCCTTTTCAAGGACACCTTCCCACCGTCCTGACTTCTCTAGCCCACGAATCCCAGTTTCCAGTTGGAAAGCCCTGTGCATTATAGTCCGATGATGTAGAGTACATTTAACGAATTACTAGATAGGGATTGCCAACTTGTTTGTCTTTAAACATCAAGTACCTTGACTTTGGCAGTACAGCAGGGTGACCGCCCGGCCTGGCTGAGAGCAGAGGGGTGGAGAATTACGTCTCTCTTTGTTACCATTTCACAAATCAGCCACCCCACCCCCCACCCCACCCCACTGTCCAAGCCACAGAAAATTGGAAAGAAAACAAAAACAGAAGGTAGGAAAATAACTACTTTTGTCTATCACTCATGATCGAATCGACTCTGTTTTAGAAGGGCAGCGTCAGACATGACAGCCGGAATGCCTGTGAACAGACAAGGGGAACTCCCACCAGAGCACACTGTGAGTTACTGTACGTGTTGTGGGCTTTCCTTCGGGTCTTTAGTATGGATGGAGAAGCCGGCTTCAAAACTATCCTCTTGGGGACGGCACGGTGATGTCTAAGCGTCATGTAACTTGTCCCCTCTATGGAATCCCCCTTTTGTTTCTTGCAAAGGCTTTGAGCTACCGGGTGTAAAGCTTTCTCCTCGGCGTTCCTTTCCATCGGAGTCTGCTCCCAATGGCTTTCCTCGTTGCTGGCAAGCATGAAATCGTTTTTGACAGGCGAAGCTTTTAGCGGACCCCTCATTCTCTTCCAATGCAGAATCTCAAACAGACCGTAGGCCCCCAAATCCCTTCGTTTGAAATAGGCCACAGAGGGCTCGTGTACCCTTAGCAGAAGGTGGCCGTTCTCTGCCCTTAGAAAAGCCCTTGCCTCCACTCTTCTCTGAGAGAGAAAGGCCACCTCACCTCGAAGAGTGGGTGACAGGCCGTTGTGTTTGCTTTTGCTCATTTTTCGGCCCCCTCAACCATGTGGGACCTGTAATGGGGTAGTGTTTGGCAAAGGAGAATCACTGAAGGATATTCCACTCACAACAAAAACGAGGCTCTCCACGTTTCCAACAGTCTCTAGGGATTACCCTCAAAGGATAGTCTATTCCAAATACTAATTTTGAAAGTTCCCCGCACAGTATGGGCATC